GGCCAAGAAAAACTTGGGCCAGTGCCTCGATAGACGCTGATCAAAACTGCAATTCTTTTGTGCTGGACTAAAGGACAAAATCGATAATGTTAGAGAGTGCCAAAAGGAACTGCCTTCGCACTCCAAACATTAACGTCCATCGAAACTGATGACTGATTGAAAATATGAAGAAAGTTTGCAACGGTTGGAATGTCGGTCCTTCTTATACTTTCATGATGGGACATCCTGGCAACTATCTTTTCATGAAGTTAATGGCGGGGCGCTGATACATTTTCAATGTTATCAACAAATAGTGACAGCAAGGTATGTGACAAGATAGTGTGCTGACTCTTGTTTTCGTCTCTGAGAAGAGTTCTTATTTATCAAGCACGAAGAAAGAACGGCCAGTGGGTAATCGAGACCTCTCGGTAGTGAGTTCGACGTTCTGCTGACCGAATAACTTAGACCTACATGGAATTATTGATTAGAACAATCGGCCAGAATCGAACCAGGCATCTCAAAGTTCGAAGCGATCCTGTTACAAACTGTGCTACTACGCTTGACAGGAATATTAATATTAAATTTTCAATGCAACCATGTAACTAATATAACAATAGTCGAAAAGAATAGCCTGTCTGTGTAGAAACGAACTACATATTGAAAGTATGATTTAGTATTCGAAAGCGGCGCCAGAAATGAAAACTTACTGATCCGTCAGAGCTGATAGCCATTCCATTCTGAGTGAACCGCTTACGAGCGGACAAAGCTTTGCTGCGCTCTGTTTTCAGTCGTTCTTCGTCTCTGAGTATGGCGACCAGTTGCTTGGCCTTTTCGCGAACGTTGATACCTTGATCTTTATTATCTTCTATGTGCTGGAAATCCTAGAGACAATATGGCAATGAGTCATGAATATGAGGTCAAAACGATGAATCATGCCTCGCCTACCTTCAGCGTCTGTATGGCGTAAATATTTTCGCGGCACTGTTGAGCCACTTTTTCGCTGCCCAATTTAATTAAATAGTCAAGCAGCACCAGACTTTTGTACACGTGTCTCCAGTTTTTACCGTGATCGTTCAAACGCTTCCAAATCATCTGCATCACCTCTGAAAATGCCATCGTATTGAATGTCATGTCCGCGATTTCCGACATGATGCTGCTGGACGGCCCCCATGGATCGTTGCTGGTCGCCTCCCGCACCTTAAACGACAAGTAACTTTAAATATCAAATTATAAGGACCGACCACCCTTTATAGTCATAGTAAGCTCTGACGCATAGCATCATTAATGAAACACTGTTAGTCAACTACCGAACAAACGTCTAACTTCTCTAAACGGGAATGTCATAGGATACTGCGTTGATCCCTTGCTCTCAGATACTTAAGGGTTAACTTTCGCAGGCTATAGCTCTCAGCGC